TCATGATTCTATCCCAGCAAAAGCAGGCCAGGGCCCTCCACAAACAAACCACAAACAAAACGTGTCAAGGCTGTATTATAGCATACAGAACCGGGCAGATTAATTTCTCCTTTACCGATAGTTAAGATCGAAACCACTAGGTATTCTGTGCAGCACCAGTCGAAGGGGTGGTCTAGATGGGGGCAGCCTGGGGAAGAGTTGCAGCAAACCCTAAGGAATGAGAAGGAGGAAGATGTGATTTCTTTTTTTTGTGGTTGCTTTCTTGAAAAAAAAAAGCAGTAATGCCCTGGCCATCTGTGAGACAAACCAACCACATGAAAAGTGGGTGAAATCGTTCAATGCGCCTTCTGTCCAATGTGGTAAAATATTAATAGATAAAAAGGATTTGTTTTTTTGCTTAAGGAAGAATTCCAGTTTTCAAATCTCTTTGGATTGTGTAAATCCAAAAGGGTTTTCTGCTCAGTAGCCGAATTTTATGATTTTACTATGGCCATTTAGGCAACCAGGTTTTTAATTCAGATCCGTTGTGTTCCAGGGAATGCTTTCATCTCTGTGAAAGTGAGAGTTTAAAGACTGAAGAAGTCAAAATGCTATTGCACGCTCTTGTTGATTTTTGTGCGTGTGTACAATTAGCTTAAGGTATTAATATAAAAAGCAGGTATCTGCATCTAATGATTTTTTGGGAGTAATCTGAACCATCTGCCTCTAGATATTAAGGAGTTCACTCTTTAATCCAGATTATGGCTGACAAACTGGTTTTGGCATTCACGTTTCACTAGCATTGTGCCCTTGAAGAGCTGATGTGGCTGTAGAAACTCTCTCGCTTACAATTGGTGGTTTTGAAAACATTTTTTGTTTGGTTTGGCTTCCTTGTAGTTGTTTTCTTATAGCTCCTTTTTCTTGAGAAGATGGCCTTTCTAATGAAAAATATGTTGAGCAACCAGGTAAAGAATTTGGGACTTGGAGGTGGAGGGGAAGAAAGCAAAGAAGAAAGCACTCCTTCTGATCCAGCAGCAGCTGCAGGAATGACCAGAGAGGAGTATGAGGAATATCAAAAGCAAATGGTTGAGGAGAAGTGAGTACCTGTTCCCTTATTATCAGTACGGGGCTGATTCTTGGTAACTTTGTGCAGGTGAAAATAACCCAAGAAAAAGCCGAACATTCAGCTCTCTTCCCCTTTTTTAAAGCAGACAAATCTTTGCTAAAGAGACTTTGCAAAATAAAAGTTCACCAACTGGAAATGATAAAATATTATGTCCCCCTTCCTCGCCCCCCCATCCTGCAACTTCCTCCTACACTTTCCTGCTATCTCCACACCTTGATATGCTGGATTCATTCCTAGTTGACGTTGCTTTATCTATCGAATTTTGGCCATAGGTACAAAGCTGTTTGTAGTGCAGGAGTTAATTCTAAAATGTGTATGATTTGTTCTCCTAGAACTCCACGTGGAGTACACTCGGAATACATAATCTTTTCATTGTCCACTTTTATTATGGCAGGCAAGAAAAAGTAATGAGTGCTATGTTAAATGGATGATATTTATCTAGAGAAAAGTTTTAAGATGGTTATTTTTTGCATTTTCAGTTATTTTTTCTGAAATAACTAAATAAAGCAGAACTTTTCAATTGATTAAACCTCAATTTTATTTTGTCTATACTTATAATCTTTACCACTTGCTGTGTTTAAATATCAAAACAGAAGTAAAATAAAGGACTTAACATGTAGGCGTTCAAATGGCGCATAATTATAAATAAAACAATTTGCTTCTAAATCTCAAATGCATCTGTTCCTCTAATGGTCAATTACATAACGGTTGTGTAAATCCTTCGTGTAAGATGATTATAGGTGAAAGGTTAATGACTGACGGAATTTGAGGTATCCAGGTCTGTAGTTAGCAGTGGCCATTTCTGTCATAAAACCTTGAATAGGTATCATTTGGTTTGGAATAAAATCAGAACGTTTAGCTATGCATTTTGTCAAGGGATATTTAAAAGAGAAATAACCACCTGCTGGCAGGGGGATGCTTTATTGAGGCTGAGAAGCAAAACGAGATTCCTGGGATAGGGGAAATGCTTGGAAAAAGAATTATTTCTATGGTTGCAAGACGGAATGTGTCCGCTACATGCTGAACGGTATGGGAGAATCGGGGCAGGGGTACTTCTGAAAGTACAGTGTGCAACTAGAATAGGACCATTTGAAGTACTTTCAAAGAGAATAAATTAGCTCAGAGCAGCGCACACTGGCGTGGTTACGTAACCAGGGATCTCCATCACGGGCAGAGCATCTCTTCCGGGGCGCTCTGGATTTTACCCAGTTTTCAGCTCTGCGGGAGTGGAGCTCAGAGAAGTGGGGGTGCCTTGCTGGAGTCACACTCGGGCAGAGTTCGGCCTTTGATGCATGACCATCTCGGCTTTGGGCTCTTCTCAGGTTTTGGGCTTGGGGTGGTTTGTTGGTGACTAAACAAACGAAAAGCAATCTGTGGATTGCTGTTCCTCAGGAAGGTGTGTAATACGCAAGAACAAACCGGTGGCTTGTGCTGGCAGCCTCCACGGTGGCACAGAATTTGCTTCCGGCATCGCAAGAGTTTAAGCAAGAGGGGACCACCAGTTTGTGCCGTACACCATAGGCTCTCGACTGTTGGGCAGCTGCTCGTACACCGCTTTCCTGTTCCTACAAAGCTTCATGATCCAGGGATTAACTAGATCCTCCAGAACAGAAAGGTGTAGGTTTGGACCAGACACTAGGGTGCAGGCAACGGTGGGAGATCAGCTGAGTGAGTTTTGCCAGGTCTTCCCATGGTGCCAGGACAATCTACCTGAGCAGAAAATCCCCTCCTGCCCCTCAGCCTCGTGGACACGTGACGGGGTGTGTAGCAATGCTGCACGCTGCCCTGTGGGAACGTATCCCAGCGCCGGCTACGGCTGCTAACGCCTCCTCTGGAGTACGCAAGGGAAGAGGAACGTTACGTAAGAGAGGGAAAATATTCCAGAAGCGCTCAAAAAATCTCTTTCCAAACTTCCCATCAATGTCTGGCTGAAAGAAGTTTAAGATGGCAAATGTGAGCCTTTTTTTTAGTGAGAGAGAGAGAGAGAGAGAGAGACCCAAAAACTCGCCTGTGGAAGCAGAGGAAAGATAACATTTCATCTGGCAAGTAGCTTTTATGTGACAAAGTACCTGTACTAGAACACAATCAATTTTGCCATAGAATTTCCATGACGATGCTTCTGTGACAAAAAATTAAAGGGAGAGGGGGAAGGTGAATGTTATCAAATGTTACCAAAAACCTTTGAGGAGACACATTTTTCAAATAAATACATAACAAATCTCACCAAAATTTGTGCTGAACAGTTCTTAAAACTAATGAAAGCATTTTATAAAATCACAGATAAAAGAAGTACTTTTGCACACAGCGAAGCTGTGGAATTCATTGCCGTAGGGTGTTCTGAAACAATAAATGGATGCAGAAAAAACCAGGAAAATTCGTAGGTGACAGAGGCCGTCCAGTGCTATTAAAGAGAATGACGTAGAGCCGATTTCCAGCTGCAGTGCCCTACACCACTGATTTTTGGAAGCTGGGGAGTTTTGATACAGGATGCTTACCCTCCTCTTAAATTCTTTCTCTTGGTGTCCACTGCTGTCTACTGTTGGAGATGGGACTCTCGGACAGGTAACTTTTGGTCCGACCCAGAAAGACCATTCTGCCGTTGTGTGTGGTGGTGTACTGTGAGAATGTCACGGCTGCAGAGCAGGAGCCTCGGCAGGCAGCTGCATCTCTGTAAGCGCCCCAGGGGACTAAGCAAGGAATAAGCGTAGCTCTTCTGTGCTGCTTGTTGGAACCGTTCACCGTTACGGTGAGCCGTAACGGCCAGTACAGGTACAGACACCAGACAAGTAGTATTGGCTTATCCTTCATTCTTCACAGCACTCAGGGGGGCTCTTCTGAGAGCAAGCCTGGGGCACGGGCAGCCTCACCCCTTAGCATCACTTTATTGATACTGCTTCCTTTGTGCCTGTGGACAAGTTACACAACTTTGGGAATAACTCCTGCGTGTAGCTTTTTACAGCCGAACAACTCCTTCAGTGTAAAAGACTGTACTTTATCAGTATCTTGAAGAAACATTTTTTCTGATTTCCAGGATGGAAAGAGATGCGGCGTTTGCACAGAAAAAGGCAGAGCGAGCCTGTCTGAGGGTTCATCTGAGGGAGAAGTACAGACTCCCTAAGGTAAGCCTGTGGTTCACGATCTCACCTAGAGCAGTGCCCAATTTGAAAACAAGCCGACTACCAATGCAGAGTTCTGAAAACGGCAAATTGCCTTCACCAGTGGGATCCCCACTGCAGCTCAGTGCAGGACTGGAGGAGGCCGGAGCCATTGTTTTCCCTAGTGACTGCTGCTTTTCCACCCTTTCTTCTCGGCGCAGTAGATGAATCTAACAGAAAGATTCTTGCAATCCCTCCCTGTACCATCAGATCTGAAACAGGCGACGAGGCAAGTTGAGCATCTGGCCTGACGGCGTCTCACAGTTAGTATATACTCTTCACTTAGCAACATGCAGCAGTTAAAAACCCAAAAACCTATAAGCAAAGTCCCTGGAAACTCCTCCACAAGCTGTACGTTTGAGTTCTGCTAAACTTCTGAAGGCTCAGTTTTACTCTCTTCTTCCACAAAGTGCAAGCAAACCATCCATTCTTTTTTCTTTAGTGCTCCTGACACATTTGTCAAATATTCCCAGGAAAACCAAAATACAGACAACAGAAGCTTCAAGCAACAGAGAACTCTGGAGGTTTGCTAAAAGCGGGCAGCAGATGCAATAGCTTCTGGATCATGACAGAAAACATAGTTAGCACTTAAGTTGATGGTATTTTCCTGACATAAAAACACATAGATACAAACAAGGATAGCTCTCTACCGCGTTTAAAGTGTTTTCCGGGTTGAGAGGGAAGGCTTGCTCTTCTTGTTTATTTTCTGATCACCTTCCATGTTTTCAGGGATTTAACTCTTGTTTGTCACAGTACGGGCTTTAGCACTAAGCCTATACTAAACATCCACAGATCCTGCCTATAAAAAAAAGCAAAAAAAAAAAAAGGTTTTGAAACTTGAGTATTCTTGAGCTGATTTCCTGTCACAAGATGGTGATGCTTCTCTAATGAAGAAAGACGGTATCTCTTCTAGGACTGTGGCTGGAATTGAAGTGAGCTAAGGGAGCGAGCGCCAGAGGATTCTGCAAGAAAATCAGGGAAGATTAGGCCATAGCAGAAACATTAAGTGAATTCTTTGAATTCATTTTAACTGCAGGATCACTATGAAGGTCCCTAGATATGTTTCCCTATGACAGTCTCTTTTATGGAGGTGAATCAGGGGAATTTTCTCAGCTCAGTGTTGTCAGAGGAGGTTGCTAAACGGTGTACAGTACACCAGGGCCAGCAGGTATTTACTCAAGAATTATAATGGATTTCAAATTATGAGTTGCCAAACTTACTGAGGCATGTAATCTGTCATTTAACCTCGGAAATGCGGAATGGGAAATGTGAAGACATTTTCAAAAAAAAGTATACAGGGAACAACAAATCAGTAACTGACTTCTGTAGGGGAAGTGAAGGAAAACTACTAAAGTTAGCTAGCAGATACATGGGCAAAAATTATATGACGGGAAGAAGAGAAGTAAGACTTTTGTACTAGACAGGCCAGTTTTTCAAATCTATTAGCATGCTCTGAAAGGATGACTAATCATAAGGGTGAAAATGATTAGTTTTAGTTCTTAAAAAAAAAACAAACCCTGGACAAATTGCTTCCCCAAAGACTCGTTAAAGAAAAAAACTGTGGTAGGGTGTGAAGGAAAGTCCAGTAAGTTTTGAATATTATTTTCCACTCATTTTGAAGAAGTGACTGAAGACTTGTTTGTGCAAATTAGTATCAGGGCCTTTACTACTGTGCATTTAGGGGCTCCCTAAAATTTGAGATTCTGCTCTGGGCCATGGAATTGAAAGGCTTTGTCTCTGTCCATGACTTTCCAGCACTTGGTTGTGGCACGTGGATGCGGCCCGCTTGTGCTTCTTAGTTTTGTCCAGAGTGGGTTGCAGTGTTAGCTCCAGCACAAAGTAACTCGGGGTCCTGTGCTTGGAAAAGTTGTGACTGTGTTATTTCGTAAGGTTCTTCCATGGACAGGAGAGGAGTAATACAGGACAGAGCAGTCTACGTAGGGGTTGGGACCATGCCTCTGCTCTGAACTACTGCTGCCGTGAAGATGGGGATTTTGCTGGCCTTGCAACTTCTGACCTGGTTCACCAGGCACTGTAGAGCCCTGCACCGACGAAATGAATGCATCAGAAGGCACTGAAGTGTCCTGGAGAGCAAGAAACTGCGGGTTGGACGGTTGTCTTTGCTAGAATCAATGCTGTCTTAAGCAGAGTTATACATAGTTCCCAGAGATTGCGTAATATGGTCCAGATCCTTCTGAGAAGAGAGCGGGATCTTTGTTTCTTGGGCTTACCGAATTATTCTACTATGTATGTGCATAACATTCACTGACTTCATGTTCTGATTTCTCATGTTTCTTTGGTTTAGCCTCATATGCTGTGTTACTCTGCACTATTCACACCGTGACACAGGTTCTCCAGTCACTGTGGTTGACTTGGTAGATTTACCAGGAAAGGGGGAAAGTTTAAGAGCTGCTTCCTTCCGCCCTGACACCGACAAGCAGACCATGTGTTCCCATAGCCTCTGATACCAACGACTCTCTGCCAAAACCCGGGTTGCATCCAGCCCTGAACTTGAGTCTGTACATAGGCAGTGAAAAAAGCTTATTTCTGGAAAGTCTTTGGAGACGCAGGTTTGCGTAGGCTCCGTATTCATAGGTTGTTAGAAGTCATGTTAGAACGGCGGTGGTTTATATGCTGTTAAACTGCTCTTAGCCTGGTCACTCCTTCATTGCTTATAAAAGATTTCTGAAGAGATTTATTTTTCCAGCTTCATTAAGATGTCTTTCACATACAGTTATTTCAAATACGACTTCAATGACTTGCTGAAAATTTATTGTTTGAGCAAAGGCCTCCTGGAAAAAATGGCTGTTATGTGGAGTTCCCCGGTTGCTTTTCCCTTTGCAGACAGTGTTACGAGTGTCTGACCTGTGCTCTCTCTGTGTTTGTCATTCCACCTCCTGCAGTCAGCAGAGCTCAGGGCTTGCTGGTCCATCAGTCACATGGTGATGTGGACTTCGTGTTTCGGTGGCCTTTTTCCTATCACCCAGCTTACAAATAGGATGGACCGAGGTCTGTTTAACTAAAGGCCTGGGTCACTGCTCTGTGGCACAGAACTACAAAGGTATTCAGGTGCTGGACTCCAAGGGATTTCAAGGAAATTAAGAGCCTATGTGCCCCTGTGAGTGTGAGCCCTGGTAGCCAGAAGTCCGATTATTATATGGGTGTAATTAAAATAGTTTAGCAGTATATGGCCCACATTTCTCAGACCCTTCTACCCCGGCATGATGGCCGCCCTAGTCAAGGTTGAGAACTATCCATGCCACGTTTTAGTCTGTATCAATTAAGCAGCAGTAATGGAATTAACTATCAACAGGGAGTTCAACGCGTTTATGCTCAGCTAAAAATATGCTCAGCTAACAAATTAGTAATGCCCCAGGGTACTTCATTCATAATTGCTTGGGATTGCTGTAACAGAGATCACCTAACAGCAGGGAGCCGAGAGTCAGCCCGAGGCCGGCAGGCACCTACCTTGTTAGGACCCAACTCACAGAAAAGTTGACAGAAAAGCTTTCCCAGAAGCTGTCGGGTCTTGTGATTTTGGCTTTGTTAAAGCACAAGCATTGTGAAGGGACTGTCCGAGTCTGAAACACCTATCAATCAATCACATCTTCTAGCGCCTACAGGAGGAATGTGTTGCCCTGAAGCGAGGTAGAAAAACGCAAGGTTGCATAGCTGCGTGGACGGCTGTCATCCAAAGGCTGCGGTTGTCCTGGCTTAGGCTATGTCCTTCACTGGCCGTCAATTACCTGCAAACTTTCTGCAGTTTTTATCTGCTCACCTGAATACTGGTTCTAGTTGGATGAAGTAAGTTGTGCTATAAAAGCCAGTCCCTGACCCAACGTTACCAATGGAGTAGTTGAAGATGACGAAAAGAGCTTTGCAAACTTTTCTTTTATTGTACTATTTTGCAGGGTTTAAAAGGAGCCACTTTTTCTCTTGTATTTTTGGGGGAAGTTATTAATAATATTTTTAATCAAAAATTTATAAGAAGTCTGTTAAAAAATGCCTACCACTTTGCAAAGGTGTTCTTTTCTGGAAACAAACATTTCCAGTAGTGACTGTAATAAAAAAAAATTATAACTATAATTTTAAAGTAGTTGGAGCTTTTTGATGTCAAAATTTTGATGTGGTGAAATCTCACACTGATGTTTTTGTACACAAACAGGTTTCTGTGTGTAAAATTTCTATCAAACCTAACTAGCAATATTAGACCTCCTCACACAAATAATTTCTTCTTGCCGTTTTGAACTGAGTGGCAAGGATTTAACCTGGCCAGAGGAATTAAAGATACCGAAGATATTTTGCATCCTTTCTTATCCTTGATCTGGAGGAATTTTGAGAAAATGAGTGGACGTGTTGGTCAAGATTTCTTAGCGAATTGGTTTCTGTGGCTTTGCGTTTGCTGTCTAAACTTACATCATTAAAGTCTATCTGTGTTTTAGTGGAACGTAGGTCAAAGACATTCAGTTCAAAAGTATTTTCTTCACATTAAGATGACCTACCTGTTTTCTTGTGCTTGTAATTCTTGTAACTTTGCAATTTAGATGAACCAAAATATATTATGCTAGTTGAGGTGGGGTTTTGAGACGGGGGCTAAGAACCCAATGCAACTCTTGAATTGAAGCAGAAATCCTAGGTTGACTTAAGATCAATGGAAGTTTCACTATGAAAAATGCCTCCGTAACGTTCACTAACAAGAGAGACCCTGAGGGCTGCTCAAGCAGTGTGATCAAATTCATCAAGCCCTGGTCTGAAAATTGCATTTATCAGCTTTCTGGAGCCTCACATACAGATACCAAATTCAAGAGTCCACCAATAAACTGGGTTTTCCCAGCAGATTATTTAAACCCATCACATATTCCCACTATCTTCAAGGACTGATATTTGACTGTACAGCCACTTCTACACGCATCGTCTCTGCTACCTTCGCCCACAGCACTGAACCTTTTCAGATAGCTCCTCCA